TATGTAAAATAATCGTTTCCTGCCGTTCACAGGTGAATGACAGTGAAAAACTTTCACCACAAGGACTTTTGCGCCTAATTTCATGTGTCCTTTTCTGATTTTCTCATTATTTCCTTGAAAATGTGTTTAAAGGGCGAAATTCAGGCCCAAAAAGTTCTAGTCGTGTAGATACTTACATATATATGTAATTCTTGTATGAAACATGTTGTAGTAAAAGATCAGCAATGTGAAATAATAACATTAATTTACATTTATAATTATTTCTTCAACGGCCTCCGATGACCATGATTACGTCTATCTAATACATAAATGTCTCGGGTCGCGATGTTCGTTACAAAATTCCTTCGAAACGGCTGTACCGATTTTTATGAAATTTTCTATGCATATAGGGCAGGTCTGAGAATTAGCCAACGCCTATATTTTACACCGGACCTGTTGGTGTAGACTTTATCTTCCACGTGGCCTCAATAAGAAGTCACAAGCTGTTAGATCACAATATCTGTGTGGTCAATTGCGATCGCTTCTTCGAGGGATCACACTTTCCCTTAAAAGATCGATCCATTTTCATTTTCGAAAAAGTAAGGTGCAATGACCCCCGTAAGAGGTTTTTTTGCAATAAATCTTGGGTTTCCTGAGCCTCAGATGCAACAGTTTTGCTTATTGATACAGCCATCGATGTGGAAATGGGTCACGTCAGTCAGGATGATTTATCGATGAATCTCGATATCATTTTCAAGCATATCAAGGGCTCAATCAGCAAAGAATTGTTGATGATTGGCCAACTTGAGTTCTTGTGTTAATTGAACTTTATAAGCCTTAAGACCCAAGTCGGAATGCAAAATACGATGTAATGACGTTTGTGGAGTGGACAAACATACAGCAGCAATATTCTTAGTTGTTCTTGACCGGCGAACACGTGTTTTACTCTTCACACCACCAGCTTGTACCAACAGCTCCATTTCTTTACCAATTTTTGTATTGCGGTGCGACAAGGTGTTTCACGACGACCGAAAAATGTTTTAGTTTGACGAGCTGTCTCTGAGAGGCTTTCACCATTTTTATAGTGAATTTTAATAATTTCAATGTGTTATTTTAGCTTGCATTGCTCCAGTTTTACCAACGACGTAGATTTTACTTGTCAAACGTCAAAAATTACAAATCCCAAAATGACATCTATTGGAATAGCAGGCTATTCAGAACTACACCTCTTATGGCTATGGTAGAAACAGCTTTCTCTCAATTCTATGTCTATGGCTATTGCAGAATATACTTCAGTGTAATCTTGTTAGTATAGCAGCCTTGATTTTACAATCAATTCAATTACAATTTCATATGTGAGTTGGGAGACCAGGAGGGATTAGAATTTACCGGAACACTACCGGTTATTGAATGGTATCGTCGGTGTATGTCGTTTATGTCTAAGGATTGCTAATTTACGGTGTTAAGATGACAATTATTCCTAAGGCGGTTGAAACAATTATATCAAGTCAATTTGGCCAACAATAAAAATAATATAAAAGTCTTGCCAGTACCATGCAAGACCTGCATTCGAAAAAAACCTTGCTTCGATACTTGAAAAAATTTGCAATAAATATGTCCTTGTTCATTTGTTATTTGTAGAGCCTTCAGTACTTCACACTACTTCTGCCAACAAACTTATGCCGTGTTATCGGTCGCCAATCCGCTCCCCCAAAGAACAGGTCTTCCTCAGTTCAATTTAAGCAAAAAGTTACCTTCTCACTAAATTTCTTGTAAATTAAAAATAAATTCAATTTGTTCAAAAATCTTGGTCCGAGTTCCACTTTCCGGAAAATCGTTTCTTATGGAGGTCATACCCCATACACAGCACACACTCCCTCTAAGTTTACACATGTATTGTACTATTGTATATATGTACATATATTAGTTTTTACTCGCGACTTCGTTCGCATTCAATTTGAATATGGATCTAACAAGATGTTTAATTGTTTTTTTATTTCGTCATTTATTTTATTTTAACTAATAAAATATTAAATTAAAGTGTTTAAATACTTAAAAAAATATTAAAAAGATTTTCTCCATAGTATCAATTTCTGGCTCGCTTCCTGGTATATTTTAATCTAAGCTTCAAATATCAACCAAACCGAACCAATAAAACAGCTTTCTAAAAGATCGTTCAAAGGCAAAGACCTTTTTATATTCCAAATTTCAAGCAAATCGAACCAAGAGCCCAATTCTTCCTAAAAGTTTGTTTCCAGCCACACTTCTCAGTATAAAAAGGTTTCCTTATGTACCAAATTTTATGCAAATCGAACGACTTGAATATAAAATCGATTTTTTCGAAAAGTTCGGACCCGGAAAAACCTTGCGAGTGCATGCACCATATGCAGTACCCACCCTCCAAAGAATCATAGAGAAGGTTAGATTCGAACGGCTTACTTCGGGGCAAATACAAACACGTAGCTGGATATTAAATAAAAAAATAATACTATTTTTAATTAGATAGTCTTCATGAGGGCGTTTTATCATACTTTGTTTTTTTTTTTTTTATCAAAAATTGCGCAAAATACACATATCCACAACAACATGTGACAAGCTCGACCAGTTTTTATATGTAAGGCTCTTTTTTAGTTCGAGGCGATTTGAGACATACAAACTCCCTCGTAGCTCAATTTCCTGTAGGGCATACATAGTTCAACCGGGTGCAATACAACAAATAAATAAATATTACAATTATTGTTATTGTTATTGTATTTGTTTTTTTTTTTTGTAAGCATTTTCTACTTGTTCGAGCTTAGTGATTAACCATCTACAAATAATCAATTAGTAGAAATAGCGTTTTGAACAAGAAATATTCTAGATTTTCACACATAAACATTACATTCGTCCATATAAGAGTATGTAAATAAGTATATACGCGTATGTACATGTATGTATATGTATGTATGCACAAATTATCAACTAGAAGTCAACTAATTGGCGCCGCAAAATGGTTGCAAAGGAAAATTACTTAGGATTGTAGAGTGACGCATCGAACATAGGTTATTAATATTTAATATAAAATAAATAAATTTATATACATATTATATATGTATGTATGTAAATGAACTTAAATAAACATATTTAAGTTTACGTGATCAAATATAAAAAAGAAGCGCTGTCTTTAATTACCATGGTTTTCATTTTGGGATTAAATATTAATTCTCCTATATGAAGTATCGGTTGTATGGGGCCTATATGTTATAGTTCTCCCATTTCGATGAATTCTAGTGACAATATTTATTTGTATATATATATATATATATATATGTATAATACCAAACTTCTAGCTCGTGGATGCTTTTTTGACGGATTTTTAACCAAAAACCTTGAATTGAGTTGAGTTTATGCGGCTGCTGGTCGCCACCAGCACACTTAGGCCGCTGAGGCTTCTGCATTCACCTCCTCAATTAATCGAACCATTTCATGTGCCTTATAAAGGCAATGAGATTTCCAATATTCACTGAGGCTATCTCAGCGCAAGAGTCCAGGAAATGTTTTCCAAGGCTGGACAGTGGCAGGGATAGTGCTCTAAGATCTTCTCCTCTTACGCGCCCCAATAGCTGCGGCAAAAAATCATTTTCTTCCCGTGAAACCCCAGTAAACAATGTCCAATTATTATGCCAGTTGTTATGTTAATGAAGAACTGGTCTCGAAGGATAAGATATTTCGATTTTTTCGCGTTCATCTTCGACCATAGCTGTCTTGTTACGTTTTAAGTGATCTCGTACAACCATCTTGAGTCAGGTTGTCTGTTTAAGTATGTACTTTGCCGTGGACAGAGTTAAGCCAGCATCTTGTTTTACCGTGGGTAGAAGGATTCCTTCCCTGGGTAATTCGTATGACCTGCAATTACTTGTCTGTGCCCCGGTACCTAGACAACGGCAGTACTATGTTTAGTTGAGAGTTGGTTAAGAAATTTCTTATATTTTATGGCCACTCCTGATGTGAACTAGATTGCTTAATGTTTTTAGGGGTTTGCCTGCCGCTGTCACGGACTGTGTTGTGCTGCTTTTTAATCAAGTGACCATTAAACTCCTCCTTGCGATGTGCCTCTTGTTGCGTGCCTGGTGACGCTGGCGCTGCCCATATCTGCGAAGATGATCCTATTTCTCAGTAGAGACTCTACGAGATTCACTATAGCCTGTTGGAGACCCATTTCTTGAAGGTACTCTATTACGAAAGCAGGAGCAAAATTATTGAAAGTCCCTCAATATCGAGGAGAATACTCAGGGTGTACACCTTCATGGCAAGTACTTTTCCGATGCACCCGACTACATCATGTAGGCCTGCATCAACAGAATTACCCTTGGAGTAAGCATGTTGCTTTCTCGTGAGGCTCTCTGGGAGTCGATTTAGGCGTATATAGCTGTCCAGCAGCCTTTCAAAGATTTTTATGAGAGAAGAGGTGACATTATTGGGTCGAAAATCCTTTGGATTGACGTGGTTGGTTCTTTCTCCTTTATGGGATGAAAATTACTTTACTTTACTTTGGCCATTGTCGATGCTTGCTAGATCAAATTTATGACTCCAAATCTTAAATCAGAAAAGATCGGTACTTTATACATATGTACTTATATATTAATACCGTTTCATGTACATGGAAGGCATAAAAGGAGAAAGTAAGGCATACTTAAATTACTATCAACAAATATGTTTTCAATGTAAGCAAGTGAGTTATCTATGTATGTACACGCTCACCGCTTATCAGTCATAATTGAATCCGGCGATTATCTGCGGCTTTGTCGTTTTTTGCATTTTTTTTCATATCAACATTTTGCTGGGAGGGTCAAGGGTTATCGCCCCCAAACATTTGCTAAACATTGTTGATAGAAATGAGCCTGAGCATCATCAACAATAACAAAAACAAAGTGAAGTCGTCGTCACTGCGTGGTCGCTTGTCTGCCTTATCACTTCGCGGTGACCTTAGATTGTGTTGACACTTTCGTTCGACGGCCGGTTGCGGCTGCGAGCTACTCGCTTTCATTTGGCATTGCAGTAGCGACAGCGTCGGTGAGAGTAACCCACCACTAGAATGTCTTAAGAAATTAGTTTAAGTTTGGTTTCGAGTGCCGAAAAAATCGAAAAACGAAAAATCATTAAAATCTCCAAAGTGAGAAGTGAAAAGTGCAATCAATTGCGAAGTTATTCTTGTAAAATTATTTTATAGTCGACGCATACGCGATGATGAGCTTTGAAATTTGTCGTTGTTGTTTACGCGACAACTCGACTTGTACATATTCCATTTTCGTGCCAATTTCGGAAAGCGACGGCAACAATAACAATAATAGCTGTCGTAATATTTTTAACGGTAATGAAAATTTGCGTGCCGCGCTGCTGACGTGTGCACCCACTCTGCATGTTGAACGCGATGATGGCCTGCCGGATGTCATTTGTGAACAATGTTTGTGGCGTCTGCGCGACGCACTCGAATTCCGTCGCCATTGCGAAGAGAGCGAACGGGAGCTGCTGCGCCGCTATGCCGACACAGAACGTGCGATCGAAGATGCGCTCCAACTCATCAATGTGCTCGATGATAAGCAGCACCCAATCTCGGCGGATTTGGGTAAGCGAAAGATGAATACTGTTTAACTTGAAAATACGTAAGCCTGATAGAAAGTGAAATTCCACTACTCCCCTAGGGCCCAACGAGCTGGCCATGTTGGATGATCTCTTGCAATTGGAAGAACACTGCGTGCAACGGCTGTTGGATTTGGATAGCGCAGCGAATGTGACGCAAGCGGTAAAACCCGCCTTGAAAGGTCTGACAAACCGAGGTGTTAAGGATTTACGTTTGCTGACTGATGCAAAAGCAGATGATTTAAATTTGCAAAAAACGCCAAGCATTCCTCCACCACAAGAAGTCGTTAGCAATGAGCATACCGACAGTTCTGCCTCCAGTACGAACAGTTCACACGACAGTACGCCAAAGTCCCTACATCCTTGTTCGGAGTGTGAGAAGAAGTTCACACGCAAATTTCAACTCAAACTACATATGATATCCGTACACAAGTTGGGTGACGGTTTGCAGTACGAATGCGATGAGTGTCAGAAAACTTTCGCATCCCGTCACAGTCTTAGCTATCATCAGCGTTCGGTGCATTCGGACGAACGTCCACATGCGTGTACGCACTGCGATCGACGTTTCGTCTTGCGCACCCAACTCTCCTCACATCTACGCATACATACCGGCGAGGCAAAGCCGCGTATCTTCAAGTGTCACATGTGCGATAAACGTTGGCCGACGAAATCGGTTTTACGCACTCACATGCGCTCCCATGTTGTTACGCAGGAGCGCCCCTTCAAATGCGATCAATGCGACAAGGCGTTCTTTACGCGCGGCCATCTCAGCTCTCATCTGCTGGTGCACACTGGCGAAAAGCCCTTCTCGTGTCCCACCTGTGGCAAGTCGTATCAATGTGTGGGTAATTTGAATAATCATATGGCCCGGCAGCATGACTTTGAGCGTATCTTAGCGCGAGGACGCAATGCGAAGGACGCAGAGAACTCAGAAATATGATGCTGCGTGCGTAGTTAAACATAAATATATTTTTGTATATAATTTCTTATTTTTATTTTCTTTATACATACATACATACATGCATACATAAAATGCTGTTGAATCGGTTTTTGTACTTACTATTTGTTCTTTTTACAATGTTTTTGTTTACTTTGTTTACAAGTATTAAATGATGATAGTTTTAATTAAACAAATCTGCTTTGTTAATATAATCTTTGGAAATCACCCACATAAAAGGCTAATCTTCCAAGTGAATAGTTTCACATGCCAGCCAAGACAGTGTGTGTACCGCGGAAAGTGAGATTACTTGCAATTATTTTTTATTATTTTTTTTTAATTTTTCAATGTTTAATGAAATATATTCTGAGCTGAAATAAGCAAAAAAAACGTTCCAAAACTCTAAACTGGTACGGAAGAAAATTAGCTCCTCATTCTAATGGCAGTCGCTCCATGTTCTATTATTGGATATTTGGAAATTTCTAGTTCGTAAATAAATGCCAAAGAGTAAAAAATGGGTTTGATTTTATCTGCCAAGAGCAACCAACCTACTAACCTACAGACCCAAGAAAATTACTTGAACTGATTTACTTTGTATTCGCCAAAAACGTAGATACAGTGGCTCAATAAAGAACTCGGACATACATTCCACTGTTATTAACATGCAACTTTCAAGCTAAATTTTTTGATAACCAATTGATATTAAGCATTTTTGTTTTTTATGTTTCTATAGGGTATCCAATAGACAAATTAAATAGTTTATAGGTCTCCTATACCCTCACTTCAAAAAATCAACTTGTGGCATGCTAGAAATTTCACCAAAAAAGAAGTCGGACATCTGGTAATATTACAGTTGATTGGCATTTTAAAAAGGGGAATCCCACAATTAGCTTGTTTTCGTTAAAAATACATATGTATATATACAATCAAACGTAATAGATTTAAATAAAATATCAGAAGTTTTTTTTGGAAAAAAAGGTGAAAAGTTCAAACATGGAAAGTAAGGAAGTTAATTATTATTCATTTTGAAATAGGAAAAACCATTCGGGAAATCGCAGAAATTGTGTGCAGACCCCGCTCGACTGTACATGACGTGATTAAACGATTCAAACAAACAAAATCCTTGGAAAACAAAAAGAAGTCTGGACGACCGAAGTTGTTTTCGGCTGCAGATGAGCGGTGGATAGTGCAGCAAATCAAAAAAATCCAAACAAGAGCGCTCCCAAGCTCTCAACAGAAGTTTTTCAACATCTCAATATAAATTGTAACCCGGAGAGTATCCGAATAGTCTTACGAAAAAATAATTATAATGGAAGAGTAGCACGGAAGAAACCATTTATAAACGAGGTTAACTGAAGCAAAATGTCATGGGAATAAGGATTTTCAATTCTAGAAACAAGTTTTATTTGCAGATGAAAGCAAATTCAATATATTTAGGTCAGATGGACAGTCGTATGTTTAGAGAAAACCTAATGAAGAGTTGCTAGAAAAGAATTTACTTCCGACTGTTAAACACAGGGGCGGCTCAGTAATGGTATGGGGTTGTATATCCGCAGCTGGTACTGGAAATTTATGCTTTATAAATGGTAATATGGACCACAAGCAATATCTGACAATTTTAAAAGAAAATTTAGTGCAAAGTGCGGAAAAGTTGGGAATTAAAGGCAATTTCCAATGCCACCAAGACAACGATCCCAAGCATAAAGCACTTGATGTCCGTCTATGGCTGATGTATAACTGTCCTAAAGTGCTTGAAACACCTCCTTAATCTCCCGACATTCACGTAATTGAACATCTGTGGGCTCATGTGGAAAATAAACTAAAAATGCATGTTATTAAAAATAAGAAAGACCTAGAGGCCGCTATTTTGGAAGAGTGTAGGAAAATAAATTCCTTAACATGCAAGAAGCTAGTTGAATCTTTGCCAAGAAGACTGAATGCTATCAGAAAAAGTAAAGGCTTGCCGATCAAATATTAAGAATATTTTGTTTCTCTTTAAATAATATTTTTTAATTCTATGTTATGTATAAGCCCAAGTTCTTTTTTGTCATCAGTTTTTGTTTTTTTTTTGTTTTTAGTTAATAGTTTTGGTTGCTTTGAAAACTACACTTGAAGAATAGAAATATACACTATGTTAAATAGAAAGCCCTCGTTTTGCATTTTATTATAAATTTTTTTGTTTAAAGTCATATAACTTGTGTGTCCGAGTTCATTTTTGAGCCACTGTAGGAATTTAGTATTTGCTGAAAGCAAAACCGACTCATCCTCCGATCTTCTACTTTTCTGGGGAAGACATTTTTAACGAGGTTATAGCCGAGTTAACAGCATTACGCCATTCATTCCTTCTTTTCGCAGATTAGCGCCAATTGGAAAGACTGAGTACAGACCTGCCCTTCTCTCATCCTCTTCCTCTGCTTCAACCGTCGGTTATTGCATTGAAAACTTTCAAAGTGGATGAGAGGAGACCTATATCTTTTGCTTCCTTATCAGGTCTGGCTCAAGCATAACTCAAAGCACTCAAAGGCGTACATTTTACAACCTAAAGTAAAGTCATTTTGCTAAGTTGGGATTATATTTAATTTTACAGCCACTGCAATTTCTACTATTAAATTTATGAATTCGTAATCAACTCAAAATAGTATGAGTTATCCATGGCATAGAGTCTTCAATGTTTTCGTACAAAGATGGAGTTGAAGTTGATTCGCCGCATGATAACGCAGATCCAAGAGATACCAAGCCAATCTGTGTGTAACGTGCCAATGTGTAATCTCCGCTCTTGTATTCAGTTTTCGAAATGAGTGGAGCACCAGAATCTCCAGGGCAAGATACCGTTTTGTTTTCACCAGTCCCTACACAAATCTTTGATTCATCTATTCCAGTATATCGTTTGTATACTTTTTTGCATACATCCAGTGGAAATAATTTCAGTACACCTCTTTGAAGAACATCAGCCTCTCGATCTAGAAGCACGCAGGCACAAAAATACATACAAAGTTAATATACATATTTAATTTAACTAAGAATAAGCCCATTACTATTTTTCTTTAGTCCCCAACCGGCCAAGACCATGTCAGCATCATGAGAGACTATTTCCGATGTCGGCAAACAAATGGGTTTGATGTGTTTGTAGCCTATAATGAAGTGAAGGTTTTTAGAAATTTATATAGTACATATATACCTACATATATCATCAATTCTTACAATTAAAATCTATAGTTCCATTTATTTTTATTAACGCGATGTCTTTATAATTACTGAACAAATTATATTTTGGATGGGCAATTGGTTTCCGCTCTGGATCAACAGCAAATTCCAGATATGTTCGACATTTTCTATTGCGGTGCAGACAATCTAGTTCAGTGCTTAAATTGTGTTCACCCAAACGCACAAAATGTCTGAAAATTAAAAAGAAATGTGTTGAATGGATATGCATATGTATGTAGGGCTAAATAAAAGTCGCTTTTATTAAATCAAGTTTACAAATTATTCTAAGTAATATTTAAATTCAAAATTTATTTTAACACACAATTTTTATCGACGATAGACGTCCGTGTCTGTCCGAGGTCACGCAGTAACTAACTTCGTTCTTATTCAGTTCGTTCGCCAGTGCAAATTTAAGTCCGGGTTTACGTCTTGTCAGTATCAGTGCTGTATTCGTCCGACAAAGTTACTTTATAATGTACTAATGTCCTGTTCACACACAGGGTAGAGACCTTAATTTAAGGAGAATACATATTTATGTTGATAGCCGAGAGGAAATTATTCCTCCATGCTGTAGGAAGTTGGCCTTAGTTGTACTGTAGAAGGGAGCGATCAAAAGTCTAGCCAAAAAAAAAAAGGACCGACATATAGATCTCAGAGCGGCCGGGCGCTCAGCAGACAGAGGCTAATTAAAGTTGACAAAGAAACGCTGCGCGACATTCAATCAACAATGATCCAAGTGCCAGAAGGACTACTTTAGTTTGCGAAGAGACGCAACAGTGAGTGCAAGTGTACAGTTTTGATCGCATGTAGCATATTTAGTAACATAATATCTTCTAAGTGAGACTTATTATAGTCAACCAGTTCAAACTAACCTAACAAAGGAGCATGATTGGTGTTTTATAGCGGGTTTTTCTAGTTAAGATTTGAATTCACTCTTTATAACACTTTCGTAGCTCGGCTTTATATTTATAATATATATTATGATATTTATAATATAATTGGCGCTTTGTAACCGCTGAAGCGATTTTTGGCCGAGCTCCTTCTCCAATTTTTCCGCCGAACCAAACAATCAACATTCTTTGTCACGTTTAATGTGGTATACCGTTATATATCACTTATCATAATATGTATATAAGATATGTACATATAATATATTATTATATGTATATATATATGTATTTTCGCACTCGTATACATAAGTATATTTCCAAGTTTCTTAATACTTACAAACCATTCTTAATGCAATGAGCAGCAGTCAAGATATATCGATCTGTTATGATCGAACCACCACAAAATGGTGTTCTATTGGCGTAGAGCAAAATTGCCATCCATGGGAATTCTCCTAGAACAGCATTTACGCCGTTACCTATGCGAGTATCTGATATACATCCACATTTATTTTTATTTAATAATGACAAGCCTTCAGGATTTATTTGGTTTAAGTCCACCGATTTCCATTTCTGCTTTTCTGAATGGATTTTTGTGTCGGATTTCGGTTTCGGCTTTTCTGAATAAATTTCTGTGTCCGATTTCGGTTTCGGCCTTCCTCGATAAAAAATTAAGTTTAAGTCCACAGATTTCGGTTTCGGCTTTTCTGGACGAATTTTTATGTTCTTCGCACAACAAACAACGTCACCAATCTGTAAGGGAATGCACGAGATATATGTAAATACGTATGCAAATATTTATGATTAATAATTGTAATTGATTAATATGAAAGTTTTAGTTTTCTTACTAGGTTTGATTTCTTGCAGTCCTTATTATCTTCAACCGACGTATATTTGGCATTACTCAATTGTGGACACTCCTTGCGCAATGTACAATGGCCAATAGCCCTATTTGTTTTACATAGATATGCGCCTAAAATGGATTACAACTCACAGAATAACTTTATGTGTATAAATTTTATTATATTTAAACTCACTGGTTCCTAAATCGCATACGCAAAGGATGGAAAAAGTGATTAAGCATAAATTTACAGTGAGACCCGCCATTGACAAGACCGCACAAATAATGTTTTTAGACGACACTGCTCTCCTTATTGCGCAACTAACCCTTTTTATAAAGTGCGCGCACCAGCTCAGTAATGCAGAAAAAATGTGCTAATATATTTAATAATAAAGGGTTTTCCATTAAGAGGTGAATTTTAGCCTGCTATTCCGGTTGATGTCGCTTTCGAAGCTCTCATTTTTTGACATTCGAAAAGTAAAAACAACGCCTGCGGTGAAAATGCAACGGGACATGCGTTGGAGCTATACAAATTCACTATGAAAATTTCATCGAAAAATTATCTTGACTGATGAGGCCCATTTTTACCTCGATGGCTAACTCAATAACGAAATACTCGCAACTGATGCTTGGAAAGCCCAAGATTTATAGTTAAAAAGCTTCTCCATCATCAACGTGTAACTATTTGGAACGGTTTATGCTTCAGCGTAGTCTTTGGACCTTACCTTTTCGAAAATGAATCGATTGCGCTATCGAAACACGGTTAATGATTTTATATTTACTATGGAATTGGAGGGTATTGATCTGAACAACGTTTACTTCCAACAAAACAGCACTACGTGTCACCCAAGCAACGAAAGCATCGATCTTTAAAGGGAAATGTTTTCGAACCGTGTTAGCTCTCAAAGAAGTGATCGCACTTGGTCACCGAAATCTTTTGATTCAACACCTTTCTGCTTCTTCCTTTGGAACCTCCTGAAAGATGAGGACCACGCCAACAGCCCAACATCGATTCAAGATGTCAAAGATGGAATTTGTGAAGCTATTGCGGGCATATAGCAGCCACTTTGCGATTTGATAATGGAAAATTTCATAAAAGCGATATGGTCCTGAAAGCGTTGCCGTATCGACCGTTTGGCTGATATTTTTAAATTTTCAATTTCAATTTATTTAGTCAATGATTTACAAATGTTACAGACTAGAAGTACAAATTAATTAAAGACGTAACGTATACTAAGAATAAAATGCATTAAGGATAGAGCCGAAACGAGAATTCGGGTATGCGAAATCAAGTTCTGGTGTTCTAGAGATGCTATTAAATTCAGAGAGTGCTCTAACAATAGGGTGGTAATTATGATAATTGGCTTTAATTCCATGTAAATAGCAGGGATAATAAGAGCGAAAAGTTCTATGAGGAACATTAATTAAAGTTGATTCGCTGAGTCAACTCAGGACAGTCCACTAAGTCATTGATGATGTCATAAATAAGTAGTAACGACTGGAATATTGTTTTCCATTATCAATGGCATATCGTAATATTTGCATAGAAACAAACATCCAAACATCACATATATCCAAAATACCAATTTTCTTTGAATGTCAAAATAACTCCTCTTATTGGAATATCCTGTATTATTTATATATATTTTTTTATGTTGTGTTTTTTTTCGCAAAATATTATTTGGAAATATATATGTATATTTATTGAAAACCACATGAATGTTTACAAAAAAAATAACTTAAAATTATAAGCGGAATGTAAGTTATATATAAATTTGCTGAGTTATGTTTTAATCGGACGTGTCATGCTTTGGTTTTCTCTTTCTGAAGAAGTTTGATATGTACTGAGGCCCAAAAAAAAACCCGATAAATTTTCGATTCGCGTGAATGGCACCTAACCAAAGAAGAGAACGGAAAAGCTATCAAAGTAGCGTTGTTTTGAGGCAGACTAAAGTGAGACGTATAATTGCGTCTAAGTTGTGAGAGAATCAACACTTAATGTACTGAAATAAAAAAAAAACATTGGCAAGCCTCGGTTAAAGAAAGGTAAAACTTGAAACTATAAAGAAGTGAATTTTGCGCTGTTGCAGCCATGGCAGCTACTCACAATCTGCATTGGACGGAGGTAGATCAACATTTCGTTAATTTGCGCCCCACTCTATTTTATGTACTGCTTCACACCGGCCGGATCAGCACCGGGATGAGAGAGGAGAGCATTCTGGTCGCCATCAATAATTGACGATTTATATTATTACTTATTATAAGTCTCCCCAAACGGCTTACAGATATTTACGAACTCATGGCCCTTAGATAGGACGCACAACTAACCGTTTACGCCTCTGTGTCAGGAAGAATAAAGAGAGTACGACGCTGCACAGTGGGGTAAATGGTGCCCAAAATGGAGTTCAATTCTCACAAGCATTCTAGTTACGGAAAAGTTTTTTTTTTTTAGTTTATGAATCATAAAGATGTAACAAAATAATGCAATTAGAGTTAATTAAATGATTTTTTGTTTAAATCATGAAAAAAAAAATATTGTGGTGTACAACGGTTTTCAAAAATTTTTATTTATTTAAGCTTCAAACTGTTTCTTCATCAACATAATCATATTCGTGATCGTAATCATATTAACTTGAATTGTCATCATTACCTTGCATCATCATCGTCATCAACTTCATTATTATTGCCACTCTCTATCATGATCATCTCTAAGGCATCTTTCGGTAAATCCTGAACTTTTTTGTGATAATTTTCTTCTGGTCGATACAACGAGGTCCGAACTGATTAAAAGTCTGTTTCATATGTCTCCTTTTGCTTTTTTTTCTGCTGCATTTACGGGAAAAATTAACTGTAATTCTTTGTTTCGAGCTTCCTAAGCTTCTTCGAATAATTGTCTGATTGGCAACAGGGCGTTTTTGAAGTGTTGCAGGCATGTCATACCAAGAATAACATTTAATGAGAAATTTCCCTGTATTTAAAGCGTAGTCACGAAACTTCTGTATTTCAATATTATTATTTAAAGCATTTAAGGGGTAAAGCCACTCAAGGATTTTGGAAAACGAATTTTTTCTTTTTTTTTTTTTGCTCACAGGGTACCTTTGGGTCCTAGAATTGATATGCAATTGGTTTTAAAGTGAAAAAAATATTTCAAATAGCTGAACTTTTTATTTTTCTGCAGCCCCTCTGAGGACAATGAAAGCTTTAAACGCGTTTTTCTCAAAATCACATTTTTCAAAAATACGTGGATTAAATAATGGACCGCCATTTTGTAAGAAAATAATAATTAAAGAATATTTTTTTATACTTCAATATAAATATGCATGTTAAATGAAATGGTTAAATAGAAATTATAGTCCTTTCTATACAGACTGGATAAGGGAGCGAAGGATATGGGTCTGGTAGTGAACGAAAGCAAAGACGAAATATCTCCTGTCATCAAACAAACAGTCATAGCATTCGCAACTCGGCTCCCACGTCACTATTGACCGTCATAACTATGAAGTAGTAGAGAGTTTCGTCTATTCTTGGTACCAGTATTAACACCAACAACAATGCCAGCCTTGAAATCCAACGCAGAATCGCTCTCGCCAACAGGTGCTACTGTGGACTGAGTAGGCAATTGAAAAGTAAAGTCCTCTCTCGGCGAACAAAAACCAAACTCTACAAGTCGCTCATCAAACCCGTCCTACTATATGGCGCAGAAGCGCGGACAATATCAGCGTCTGATGAGTTGGCCCTGAGAGTCTTCGAGAGAGAAGTTTTGCGAACGATTTATAGTCCTTTGCGTAGTGGCAACGGCGAACACTGCAGACGATGGGACGATGAGCAGTATGAGCTATTTGATGATATTGACATAGTTCAGCGAATGAAGAGACAGCGGCTACGTTGAGAGGTCGTGGTCCGAATGGATGAAAGCACTCCAACTTTGAAAGTATTCGATGCAGTACCCGCTGGAGGAAGCAGAGGAAGAGGAAGAACTCCACTTCGTAAGACCAGGTAGAGAAGAACCGGACTGTGCTTGGTATTTCCAGTTTGCGCCACAATTAAATTCAATGTAAAGTGCTAATCGCCACTAAATGTTGGCGCTAAGTTAACCACAAAAAAGTTCTTAAAATTTTCAGTCACGAAGCTGAATGTAAAAAAAGCTTTCGGAGAAAAGATAAGAGGGAGGGGAACATGCAAATTTTAAGAAGTTAACAACCGTAAGTAAATGCCACACGAGTATATATGTATGTATATGCGGTCATATTGTACCTATATATTTATAAGTATTTCGGTTAAGGGAGATTTCATTTAACCAGAAAAATGTTAAAATTTATTTTTATGAATATTCTGAGAATCCCGATTTGCCAAAAGAGCAATTCTTCAGAAATCTCGAACTCTTTGCTGTATTGCTGGGTCAGTAACAATAACATAAAATACATATATACAACACTTACAGCACAAGAAATATAGAGATTTTAGGTATTGCATTCTTTTGTTTTGCTTGTCGTAAGCCCGACCTCTGGCACAATATCTGCAGGCTCCTGATTGTAGCAGAATCCTCTTCGAGATGCTGGGCACCTTTGGTCAGGACCAATCAAAACAAACTCCTATCCTGGATTCGATAACATGAACTAGTTTTGCCTATGTCATCCAGAAACCTCGGAGATGATTTTGCGATTGTTTTTTTTTAAATTATACCAAGTTGCTCATGAGTGCTTTCAAAAAGCAGGCGCGCAAGCCGAGTAGAAAACTGTTCGACTGTTTGTTGTGATTGCAGCTTTTCGACGTCGAAACTTCTTTGTGTTGTTTGACGGGCGTTCTTTGATAGACAGAGGCATGTAGGTATCTTTGCTGCGACAAAGTACTGATTCGAGTCGATTTTCAGACTTCAGACCTGGTTACATATGTTCCTCAATCCATTTGGGGATGTTTCCTCGTGGAGACTAAATTTTCCAACAGTTGTACCGAAAATACCTTCTTTGCCTAGCCTGACGTGACAACGTGACGGGATCAGCGCTAATAAGTATGCTTCAAGCGCTCACACAGACATTCTTGGTCATATCGTTCTTCTCTTCTGTCGGGACATGGACGCATATCAGCGTTGGGTTGAAATATTTTGTTTTGATGCGGATTGCAGCGAGACGTATATCAACCGAAATGAATGCCAGCACTCGGCGAGAGAGTCTTTCTCCCATCACAAATTCGGCTCCAAATTTGCGCTTCTTTATATGGCCGCTGTAGTAAATGTCACAAAGACCTACTTGCTTTCGTCCTTGTCTCGTCGTTCGCCCTTCTTGGACGACGGTTAATCTTATAAGGATATCAACTAGCTGGGCTGCGGCAACTTCCCAATTGAGGGATCGGACATTCCAGGTGCATGCCCTCAAATCGTGATCGTTAGAACATTTTCGGGGGTCTTCATCAGAAGTAGGTATCACATCCAGGGCCTATTTTGATATTTAATTGGATTTCTCGTTTTTCATGTGGTGGATCCCAAAGCTCACGCATAACCGCATGAGTGTCACCTTCCCACTTTAACTTGCCTTCCACGAGATACTTGGTCTAAGGACGAAAGCCGTGAGCTGCTGAACTATATGCAAAATCATTTTATGGGCACTGCCTGGAGAATATCAGTCAAAAACTTTCCTCACATAGTCCCATCCTCTCCATTTTATGTCAGAAATGCACTTGGGGTTGACATTCCCGGACGACCGCAATAAGATAAATTGAATTAACGAGAGCTGACTGTATATATATAGTATGGATTACAAGGTGTGACAATAAAGGCATTATATTGCCCAGCGACTTTGAAACTCCCTTTCCTTTCCACCGGCATTCTTCTCCTCTCTATTGATATATTTGCCATCGCTCTAGCTTGTTTAGTTCGGCTGCTGCGTCGTGTTGAGTAAACGTGTGTACGTGATGCTCGTCACGAAAATGGAAAAACGAAATCAAGAGCAACGCGTCGTCAAATTGGGCGAAACAGCTACGGAAACGTACGCTAAAATTGTAAATGAGAGCTGGATTTTTCAACATGACCCGGAATTCAAACGCCAAAGCTCGCAATGGTTGTCGAAGGTGAAAACGATGATTATTGCTTTTTTTGATAGCCGTGGAATCGTCCACAAAGATTTTTTTCCCCCGAGGCAAACCGCAAATCAAGTCTACTATCGCCAAGTACTCGAAAGATTGCAAAAACGAATCAACAGGATGCGCCCAGACATCGCTTGTAACCGGATCCTTCATCACGACAACGCGCCGTGCCGCACCGACCTCAGCGTGTCCGAGTATTTGGCCTCTAAGGGGATCGCCGTGTCGGAACAACCACCTTATTCGCCCGATATATCACTCTATGACTTGTTTTTTTGTTTCCTAGAAACAAAATCGGTGGTCAAAGGACGGATTTTGAGTCGATTGAGAACAGCTAGACGGCCGAGACGAGGGTACTCGAGGGTACTCGCTGACATCCCAGTTGAAGCGTTTCAGAAATGTTACGAAGCATGGAAAACGCGCTGCAGTCGTTGTATAGCTCCCAAAGAGTCTACTTTAAAGGAGTAGCAGAGTTGTAGTATAATTTTGGAATCAGTCTCATTGCTTAATTGTCACACCGCGTATATACATAAGCAAATAAAACCGTTACTTTGTAAAATAAAACAATCGAAATCGTTCATTTTACATTTTTTATTCTTATTTCTTTTCTCTTAAATATCTATCAATTTAAAATAGCATTTGTTATCCACTGAAGGGAATCGGTGACATTTTCATACATGAACGGCTCGGAAGTTAAACTACCGCATTCTTTACCGTAACCAAGGGATACCAAACCAATTTGTGTGTAACGTTGTAATATGTAATTGTTGCTGATGTATTCGGATTTCCAGAAGAGAGGAGCACCCGAATCACCCCGACAAGATACCGAATTATTCGCACCAGCTTGAATGCAGAGCCTCGAATCGTCAACCTTGTATAAAGAGTATAGTGTTTCACAACGATTCAACTCTTCCAATTTCATAATACCTTTCTGGAGTATGTCAACCGGTAGGTCTAGCAATGCAGGTATGAAATAAATTAGATATTCATAATATCCATTTAAATTATAAAAATTTCACTTACCATTTTCTTTTAATCCCCACCCAGCTAAGATCAAGTCATCACTCGGTAATACAGGTGAGATCATTGGTGGTATTGGCAAACACACTGGTTTAATATGACGATGAGCTGGGAAAGATATGTTCAGTAAACTGATTAATTACTCAAATAAATTAAAGCTCTGAATAGGTGTTTGAAATAATAAATAATTAAAAAAATATATAAATATTATATATATATATAACCTACCAGCAAAATCAATAGTTCTGTCAAGTTTGATCAAAGCAATGTCCTTATAGTTGGCCAGGGACCTATAATTTGGATGAACCTGTGGCTTCTGATATGGATCGATGCCGAATTCCTCGAACGACTGGCAAACACCACTAACACAATCTCTTATGGTTGATATCCTATGTTCACCCAAGCGAACGCGTTGCCTACGATGAGAAAATAAATTAATTAAATAACTGAATATAAGTTATAGATTAAAAATATGTTCTGAGTTAACTGTATCCCTAAAGGAATTAACAATTTTTGCGACGCTAACCTAAAAATACATTTCTAAAAGCCTCAAAAATATATATTTTTTCTTTTATTTTTTTATGTACTTTGAGCCACGAACAACGCAGTCGCCTTCAAAGCTATTTGACTTAGAACTTGACTTTAAACGGGTTTCGTCTTTTCCGTGCTACCCTCTTCTCTAATCTACCATTTTTAAATAAAAACAAGACATGACCAAAACCTTACGGGAAGTAAGTGATCGTTTCCATGACAGCATTGTTAGCCATAAAAGGATGGAATGGGCAAACCTCCAGGACTAGTTGGCTAGCTAGCTGAACTACAGAGGGCGGAGGACATCCTATCCCCAATTTTACGTAAAATTTACAAAGCCTGCCTACGCGAAGGGTACATCCCGCAAGCATGGACAAGGGCCAAAGTAATTTTTATCCCAAAAGGAGAAAGAAACAACCACGTCAATCCAAAGGATTTTCGACCCAATAACCTCACCTCTTCTCTTTTATAAATCTTTAAAAGTCTTCTGGACAGCTATATACGCCGGAATTCCCTCAAACAGCCTTTCGAGGAAACAACGTGCTTACTCCAAGGGTAGTCGGAAGCATCGAAAAAGGACTTGCTGTGAAAGAATATACGCTGGGCATTTTCCTCGATATCGTGGAGGCTTTCAACAACATTCTCCTTGCCTTCGGATGAAGGCTCTTCAGAAAATGGGTCTTCAATAGCTTATAGTGAATCACGTAGAGTCTCTTCTAAGGGACAGGATCATCTTCGCAAATATGAGTAATGCCAGCGTTACCAGGCATACAGCGAGAGGCACCCCTCAAGGTGGAGTTTTATCGCCACTACTGTGGTGCTTAGCAGCAAACTGCAGCCGGAACATGGCAGAAAGCCTGCAAAACGGCGATAGGAAAGAGATAGGGTTTAAGACCGAGTATCTTTCATTGAATATACACATCGGTAGTTAGACCTATCCTATTCTACGGAAACACCGTTTAGTGGGCGGCACTCGAAAAAATCACCTTCAGGAGCATAACTGGAACTTTGCCCTCATCTCCCTCGAAAGCACTGCTAACTGTCCTTAACCTCCTCATTCTGGACCTATACGGGAAAACACAATGGGGCTGCAATGCAAAAAGACTGAATGCAACTCAACCTTGGAAGATTCGCTGTATAGGATGCGGCACACAAGAATACGAGTATTATCTCTTACATAAGTGCCGAAGGAGCTGGACTACACCACTTTCAGTGAATGCTTCGATAAACTCTTCTCCACAAGAATCTCAAACAGATGCGAGTGGGAAAACACCAACGCCCCAGACCAGGGAGCAATAGGCATCTTGACAGATGGCTCGAAGCTCGATGGGAGGGTTGGTTGCGGAATTTATTCTCCCGCAATCGTGGAGGCCGAGGAATGGTTGCACAAATCTACGGCAGCAGGACAATCAGATCTCTTCAATGTAACGAGATCACGTAGAACGTGGCCAGACAGCTATGGCCGAAATTGGGCGCGACAGAATCTAAACACTTTATCCATCAGGACCGGTTCTCAATTAGCATAGCGACGGGTATATTAGCTGTGCTTGATGGTTCTTCACGGGGTTAGAATGGGCTTTTACTCTAACGATTTCTGTCGCGGCTGTAGGGACGAGGAGAAGGAGGAGACCATCGATCACCACCTTGACATGAGCGCGACACAAGTTTCTTGGGAAACACCTCTTCGACTGTCTCGCAGAGTTGACCTCAGTGAACATTGGAAATCTCGTTGCCTTTATAAGGCACGCGAAATGGTTCGATCATTTGAGTAGGAGAAGGCAGGAGCCAAAGCTGCATCACAATGGGCCTATTGGCCTAAGTGAGCTGGGGTTAGACCAGCAGCCGCATGAACTCAACTCAGCTCAAATAAAAAGTATATTGATGTTTGAAAATTACTTTTTCAGACGCTCAAACCATTTGGTGTATTTCACAAAGTTCAGGAGTTTAATCATGCAAGCTGTTTTAAACAATCGAAGAAGAGATATCCGAGAAATCGATAACGGAAAGCACTGAGCGCTGGGCAGTGGCAGATAGGTTATTTGAAAAAAATCTCATCCCTCTACCATGAGTTAATACGTCGGTTGTTGTACTTAAGGAGGTCATGTTTCGAAGAAGTAAAAACTTAGTTCTCTCTCACTTCGATCAATTGCACGTGGTTTCGCTCTGGCATCTGCTGTTGTGGTAAAGGCTAGTCTTAACAAATACTAAGCCGAGGAAAGAGGTATGTCTGCATCATGTGCAGAGTTTGCCGGGGCTATGATTGTTCCTTAGCCGGTCAACTCATCGGCTCCGTAATTACCCGGCGTGTCCCTATTACCAGATAGCCAAACCACGGATATTTTCCATGTAGTCGAGAAAACTTACAAGTTTAAGTTTCGAAAAAAGTGTAAAAAATGTCAACTCTTCATTTTATTTATAATAAAAAGCATATAGCAAATTCTTTTCCTGCATCTGCCGCCTAAGAAGAACGAGTTGAAACAAATGTTTTATTAAAACCATTTTTGCATTCAATACTATAGCATCTGCCTAGAAGATAACCCCCAAAAATAATTTTAAAAATCTTCAAGTTGAATATTTTATAGGTGTCAAGGTCAAACATTTCTGAGCAAACACGTTTAGTGTCGATAATTTCGAAGTTAAACCGCCTTGGTTTGAGTTCCTTTTCTAAAAATCATCAAAGCTTTTGTAGGATATCCCAGTTCCACTAAGAAGAAAGTCATATTGAGCAGAAATGTTCTGTAGCTACGAGTTCCAGCTTAGTCATTTTCAATTTGACACAGAAGCAAGAACCCAAATTTAAAAAAAAAAAAAAATATAGTATCGACCTTTAATCATATTTAATAATAAAAAATGTTATCCAAAAAAAAAAATAATAATAATAATGATAATGATAAGTAGAAAATATACTACGTAGTATCTACTCACAATTCGGGTTTTATACAATGCGCCGCTGTCAATATGTAGCGATCTGTTATAATCGAGCCGCCGCACAAAGGTTTCATCTCAGCATAAAGCAGCATCGCCACCCATGGAAACTCTCCCTGCACCGCATTTACAGCGTGAGCTATACGATCATTTTTGATTGCACCACAATTGTTATTGTTTAACAGCTCTAATCCACGGGGATTTAAACCAACTCTTTGAGGGCTTACTGTTGTGGTTCTTCTTCTTGTTGTAGTTCGTCTGGTTGTTGTTCTTGGTGTAGTCTTTGGCACATACCTTCTCCTCTGTGTCTGGCAACATACCACTGTGCCTGTCTGCGGAATAAAAATATGTCTATAAACTTAACTATAAAAGACATTTCAAATATATATATATATACATATATATATGTATGTATGTAAATATTTAATATATATTTCTTAGAGGAAAGAGTGTTGCGTTTTAAAACTTTACTGGCATCTTTATGGTTTAGTTAGGAAGACTTGGAAAATTTACACTTGGCCAAAGAAGGCCACTTTGGATACGCTTCGATGAGCTCCATTCTTCGGAATGTAGAGTTTCTCTGAAATATTTATTTTGTGCGTTGCCACTTCCATGTACATTATTATCTTACCGTCGGCCGGGTTAACATTGCGTACTGCAATACGGAAGGCTCGGGCTCAAATCCCCGTGCGACCAACATCCAAAAGTTATAGAAAATTAATTTAAATAAAAAATTAAGCTAAATTTTCTAATTGTGGTCGGCTCTCGGCAGGGAGTGTCAACCCCTCTGAGTGTATTTCGGACATGAAATAAAGGTTCCTCGACTAGAAAACCATCAGCCGTTCGGAGGCGGCTTAATATAAACTGTTCCTTTATATGTTGGAAAAACATCAAGACGCAAAACCACAAATTGGAGGCGGAGCTTGGCCGATCGCTTCAAGCAAGTATCAGTAGGACGAAAGAGAGATTCCGAAGTAATCAAAATGACGCGCTAAGCTGATTTAGCCAAGTCCGTCTCCCCGTCTCACCGTCTGTTTGTGAGTAAACTGGTCCGTTAATTTTTGAGATATTTCAACCAAACTTGATACACAGATGTATTTTTTTATAAACGATCATTTGTCGGAACCGGCCAGATCGGAATACTACAAATTACATAACAGGTGATCCAAGCAGAGGAACCACCTTCAAAAAGCGTTCAACTTTATAACGAAAATTCACGTTCTGTAAACAACCCATCTCCCAACGTGAGACCCAGCATTCATCATTATTCGTTATTGGATAATATTCCGCCACGTCCAGCACAGCAACTCAGATTGGCATATGGAACTACTTGGTGTATTTTACGTGGAGATCTTAAATTGAAAGCATACAAAATACAGTTTAAGCAAAACCAGAAGCCGCTCGTTTCTCCCAAGAAAATCCAACGTTTCCGAACCAAATGCTCTTCAGATATGAGGCCCATTGCCGCATTTGGGACGAAGATCAACCCGAAGAGATTTAAGATTCCATCCAAAAAAAATTGTGTGGTTTGTGGAATAATCGGTTCATATTTCTTCAAAAATGATGCCGGTGAGAGCGTAATCCCCAATGGCGACCATTATCGCGTCATGATAATGGATTATTTGATGCCTGAAATTGTGGTTCTTGATCTCGGCGACATTTAGTTTCCACAAGATGGCGCCACTTCCCACGCATCGCATCAATCAATGGATTTAATGAGAGAATGCTTCAGCTCACGTTTGGGTCACCAAGATCGTGTGATATCACACCGTTAGAATTGAACTCAAAGGATGGACCATCTGAGACGTAGCCGCGGTCAACATTTGAAAGAGATAATCTCCCAAAAATAAATGACAAAGTATGCTCTTTGGAAAGAGAATAAACAGTTCCTATTAAATTTGAATTTTCTATTTTTTTTTATTAATTTATTTTATTTAAAAAAAATATTTAAAAAAGATTATGCATTTATTTTTGCTTTATATATATACATATATATACTTGGCGCTTTGTAACCACTGAATCATTTTTCGGTCGAGCTTCTTCTCCGATTTGTGGTATAGAGTTTGGATGTTTTGCCAACAAATGGAGGGACCTACAATTCATACAAAGCCTCCTCCGAACGGCTGATGAAGCTTTTATGAGGAGCTTTTTTTTCATGTAAGAAATACACTTGTAGGGGTACCATCGACATACTTATTGTCGAGATATCATGAAAAATTCTCTCCCTCCTAAATTTTACAAGGTCACTTATTTTATTTTCTATCAGACTGCAAAAACAATGGAGAATTACTTACATTTCTTATTTTCATTAAATTTCTACTGAAATGGCAAATTTTTTCTTCAAACTGTTTCTATTTAACTCACACTCACTTTCCGGTAATTCCAATGCACACTTTTAAGTTTAATTTCAATTGAGCAAAGTTTATTGCAAACGTACATACATCAATCGTACATATGTATATAGTAAATAATATATGTATGTATTTGATTTTCCTTACCAGTCCAGAACGACTGCAATCTGCGTTAAAATGCACCTCCGCCGCTAATCTGGTGTTCTTCAAAGATTCACAATTTTCTAGTAATTCGCACTTGCCAACTCTGTTATTCTCTTTGCATAAATACGGCACTTGAAGGGAATAAAATTTTGTTTAAATCATTGCTTACTCTATTTTATTTTTGTTTTTTTTTTTGTTTTTTTTTTTTTTTNTTTTTTTTTTTTTTTTTTTTTTTTTTTTTTTTTTTTTTTTTTTTTTTTTTTTTTTTTTAATCTTAAATTCAACTCACCGACTGCTTCGAACCAATTACAAAAATAGACAATAAAAAGAAAATTAAAAAAAATATTTTTAACACTCGCCATTGCCACCGCTTCGCAAATGAAATACTTAAAGAAGACTGTTTGCAAATGGGAAAGGAAATACTTTCTGTCTGCTATATATACCAGTTCATAAAATCATATTACATACCTATAAATATGTGTGTATGTTCACATGAAAGTTCAGCGTTTCATAAGGTGATAAGGAATTCTCGGGAATTTCTGAAAGCTGCATTTTCATAAAAATAATTCACACTTATTGTAGTTGAGAATAAAATGTAAATATATATAATGTGGATGCCATTCTTTCAAACGACGCCTTAAAGAACTAAAAGCAATTTAAAAATATTCATACTCATATAAAAAAGAAAAAAGAAAAAGGAAAAAAGGAAATTTCTGCCAGATGGATGCGATCTTCCTCCTCCCGAACCGAAGGCTATTTGTAATTGTGCGCGCATTTATATGGTGTAAATATCAGCGAATCTAATGACAAAAATTGAGAAAAAATATATCATAAAAATTGTAACGGAAAACTCAATCAGCACATATATTTCTCAAGGGGTTACATCCACTTGCAAGGCAAAATAAATGTCATTCTTTTTCTAATTGTTTTTGTAGATACATTTTAGTCTATAAATTAATAGAAAAAATTTTAATAGATAGAATTTAAAGTAGTTTAACAGTAAACGATCCATTTTTAAAAAAATATTACATCCTCTTATTTCTGTAGCCAATCTCCAGAAGCGCCTCCAAAAATAATGTGTCTGGCGGTAAGGAAAATATTTCTGCTTCAAATTATCTGAAAACCGAAAACCAAAAAAATTTACTATTAAAATGGATGAATACATGTAATGAATACAAGAGTGGTGAAAATCTTGATTTTTATCAAAATCAAAGACCGTATATTAATAATAATTAATATAGGTTCTTTGGCAAAATGGCGGCTTCAAAAAAATACTTATTTCGAGAGAAATTCTACACTTCAAAGTAATAATAATTAATGTCAACAATTTTATTCCTACGGATTCGAAAGATTAAAAAAATATAGATCTTTTAAAAATCATAAGTGGATATGACCAAAGAACGTATATTAATAAGAAGGCAATATCAATATACGTTCTTTTTTTCTATTATTTCATTCACAATAGAATATTTTTGCACGGAGATTCCTCAATTTCAGCAATAAGGCCCTGCAGGTGAACAGCTGTTTAGAATTGTCAAACATATGACATAACTATAAAAAATAAACAAGTGCTTTATATATTTGTGTTTTTTATATCATAAATATTTATTAAGGAACTATGTTAATTCTACGGCAATGGCGCCATCTAAAAGGTGCATCCGGAACTGGTTTAACTAATTGCTTGACAACACAAATTGGACAATATGACAGCAAATTGAACTCACAGGAAAACAGCATTAAACATCGGTGCATGGCCACTAGCGTCGGAGCCGCAGATCCTAAAGGTGTTTTACAAATCAACGGCCAAACTTATCCTACAGATGACTGGACAAATGTGACACCCAAAATACTATCTTATTTGGGTGCTAACAAACATGTACAACGCAACCATCCGCTATCTATTCTAAGACAACGCATTGTTAATTATTTCTATGCCGCATATAGAAACTCACGCGGTAATCCTTTATTTTCGGTATATGACCAGTTAAGTCCTATTGTGACGGTGGAACAAAATTTTGATAATTTGTTATTCCCAACTGATCATGTAAGTCGTGCCAGGTCAGATTGTTATTACATTAACCGACATCAACTATTGCGCGCTCATACAACTGCACACCAGGCGGATTTAATTGCTTGCGGCCTGGATAACTTTCTAGTAGCTGGTGAAGTATATCGGCGGGATGAAATTGATAGCACGCACTATCCTGTATTTCACCAATTAGATGCAGTGCGTTTGCTTACGAAGGAAACACTTTTCGGACGTAATCAAGATTTGGAAATTTTTGAAAATGACTGGCAGCTCAAATCAAAAACTTCGGCAATACCAGAAACATCATCGAAATGTTTGGATCAAACCAAACAAGTGTGTCATACGCTTGAAGCAGTAAAATTGATGGAACATGAAATGAAGGATGTGCTAGTAGGACTAGCTCGAGATTTGTTTGGTACCCAATTAGAATATCGCTGGGTTGATACATATTTTCCTTTTACCCAACCATCCTGGGAATTGGAAGTACTTTTTAAGGGTAATTGGTTGGAAGTGCTTGGCTGTGGCATCATGCGACATGAAATTTTACAAAGGTCAGGTGCTCATAATAATATAGGCTATGCTTTTGGCTTAGGACTAGAGCGCTTAGCAATGGTGCTGTTCGATATACCTGATATACGACTATTTTGGTCCAACGATAGCGGTTTTCTAAATCAGTTTAGCGAAGAAAATTTACAAAAGCTTTCTAAGTATAAACCTATATCTGTTTACCCGCAATGTACGAATGATCTATCATTCTGGCTGCCATTGGGTGTGGAGGTGGATGCTGGCTTTGCGTGTAATGATTTTTATGATCTTGTGCGTACAGTAGCCGGTGATGTGGTTGAACAAGTGAGTATTGAGAAATCTACAATCAAGTTGAATGAGTTTTGATGGAATTCTACTATTCTTCTAGATCAGCTTAATTGATCGCTTCAAGAACCGCAAAACAGGCAAATCTAGCTTATGTTTCCGTATCGTCTATAGGCATATGGAGCGTACCTTAACACAAGCTGAGGTTAATGATATACACAAACGCATTGCTGATGCATGTGTAGAGAATTTTAGAGTAGAGATACGGTGAAATATTATCTCTGAATCAATAAACTAATGAATTTCGTTTATGATAAATATTATTGTTAATGTTGTTGTTGTAAGCGCAAAATTGGTTTTCGGGGTATAGTGCTGGAGTGACAATACTTTGCCCGGGTTCTTTAGTTATTAAGATACAATTGTCGAGAGAACTAATGGATTTTAGTCGCTTCTTACGACGGACATGCCTTACCCAGTCTAAAGTTGCAACCCGCAAGACTATATTCTTACTAATATTAAGGTTTAGTTAAATAGGCTATGACTAAATAACTTTGCGAGATATAATATATATGTAAGCGTGACTATTTTAAGTCAGGCTATGATCATTAAAAAGAGTAAATTGTTTTAGTTCAGAATAAAATTTCGATGGTGAGCCATTTAATGTAGGCTATTGAGTTTTGAAAGGTGGCATCGCTAAGTTTCAATAAAAAACAAGCGAGTGCAAACGTCATATGTATGCATAGAACCGGCAGAAATTTTTGTTGTGGCATTTCAACAAAAGTCACAAAAGGATTGTTATAAAAAATACAAATATCTTCTAAAGGGTTCTTAAAAATATTGTGGGCGCAGAGGTTCCCTGATAACTGAAATCCTCCATTAAATAGGTGAGTAGACAAAAAAGTCGAACTCATGAAGCAAATGATAACACATATCCATTATGGGTTATCACCTGACAATCTCACCGGTGGCTTAGCATACAAAATTATATTTTTAAAGCCTCTAAAATAATTTTCATTTCAACAGGAAGATTAAATTTGGGCCGCCGTGCAACGCAACATTCATAACCTTAAATGAATTGCAACGAAGTGCTGACATAAAGTTATAACGTCATCAACGATATCACATCATAACTGCTTTATCAATTAATAGTAATAAAAAATGACTGAGAAAATAACGAAATTGGCCTTAGCAAGTCGGGTAATTATATTGGTTTTGCAGCTGCTTGTCAACCACCTGCTGCCCGATCACAAAACAGATGTATTCCGCTCACCTATTGCACAACAAATAACCCAACAGCATATAGATTTACTTGAAAATAATGCATACAACATTCATAATGGGACTGATGCGTCTTGGCTAGATCGAACAGTGAAATTCTTATTCGGTGGCATGCGTCATTGGGATGGCGAATACTTCTTACATATTGCGGAATACTCCTACTCATACGAGAATACGCTTGCCTTCTATCCACTATTTCCGTTAGTAGTGCGCGCCGGTGCCAATGCTTTATACGCCCTTAATATGGGTGTGTCGTTGCGAAGTTGGTGCTTAGTGATAGCGGTACTAGTCAATGTGTTTTGCTTCTGCAAAGCAGCCAACGCGCTCTACGCACTTACACAACGAATATTCAAAGATCCCAACAAAAGTTGGAATGCAGCTCTATTATTTTGCTTCAATCCCGCTTCGATATTTTTCACTGCCGCTTATTCTGAGGCTCTTTTCTGTTGGTTATCACTGCACTTAATGCTGGAATGTGTATCCGAGTTCCGTTTTGTGCGTACAACTTTAGCACTGGCGCTGTCGATGGTTAGCCGATCAAACGGTCTACTCAACGCTGGCTATCCTATATACTTTATGCTACGCCACAGTATACTAAAGTCATATCATCGCTGTTTTGCCACAATAAAATTATCATTGTGTCTACTAGGAGCACTTTTGCCACTTACTTTTTTCTATTTTTATGCATTCGAGCAGTTCTGTTTGCCAGATCGGACAGTAGTGCATGCCCCGGCCGTTTTACAATATGGACGCGAGAAGAATTATGTATTAGCTGGTCATCGGATGCCACAAAGTTCTCCATGGTGTGATAATACTTTCCCATTTCCTTATTCCTACATACAATCGCACTACTGGAATGTCGGTTTCCTACGTTACTACGAACTGAAGCAGTTGCCGAACTTTTTATTAGCGTTGCCGGTGCTGGGATTTTTGCTTTATCACTGCTTCAAATACCTAAGACATTTCCTGCGTACGCTGTTGCCACGCTATCCAATCGTGCAGCTATTGAAGGAATATAAATCTTTGCCATTTGTGCTGCACGCGTTAATACTCACACTATTTTGTACTTTCTTCGTGCACATACAAATATCGACAAGACTACTTTGCTCAGCAACGCCGTGTCTTTATTGGTTTGCTGCCGATCACCTGCCCAAGACATTTGATCAAATCAAATTGCGTTCGAAGGCTGGCTCTATACTAGTATGGTTTACAAGTTACTATTTAATAGGTACAGCGCTATTTTGCAATAATCTGCCTTGGACGTAAACTACCGTTAGCGGTCTGTTTAAATTACATACAGATAAGTCGTGCTGTTAAAGAGAACGCAATACAAGTGGCAAGGTTGTGCTGTAAGTAAAACTAAAAATTTATATTCCATTTTTTTTTAATCATCTTACTTAATATATGTATATAAATATATATTTCAGATTAAACATTGAATGCATAAATCACGCAAAGCTTCGCAACTCAAAATTTCCATTACATCATTTCATCATAGGCACAACCAATGGAAATAGCTGTAACATATATTGCTGCGCCCACTAACCAAAAAAGCAATCAAACTAAAATTACCTAAAAAATCAAATTGACTAAATATTTTAAAGCTTATTTTTTATTTTAAATTAATTAATTTATTATATTTTGAAAACCTGTACGAATGTTGTCTTACACAAATGTTGCAAATGTTGAATTTTTAGAATGCAAGTAAATCTGAATTAGTATGTGTGTATATATTTATTTAAGACTGCATACAAGTGTAAACGAAATACCGAAAAGAAGCTTTTCAGGTCGTTGTTTTTTTTTCTTGAAGTTCTTAAAGAAAAGGAGGTTTTAAAATGTAAAGTAAATTTGATCGAATCTTGCTACAAATAATGTTTACTTTAATGTAAATTTTTTAACAAAAAATTTAAAATTTTTTAACAAAAAACTTAAAGCAAAAAATTCAAAATTTTTTGTAGTGCTTTATCGTTTCAAACAAGCTTAAGAGAATTATGAAAATATAATAATTTTGAATATTAATTTACAGATTTTATAAATTCATTCGAGGAGCTCTAAATCATTTTCAAATCAGGAGTAGCAAATTAATTTTTATATACAAGATTTCAGGTCAGCACGCTTAAAAAGGGATGTTGTGACTCGTAATAGAACATTTTTTTAAGCGTACCAATAATGAATGGTCTAGGATACTAAAATGTACTTATGTATTTCTTTTGTAAATAAAATTCTAGTATATATAAGTTAAAAAAAAAAGGATTTTTTTTTAAATATTTTAATATATGAGGCGTGAAGTCTTTTCCTAGAACTCGAAAATAACCTGAATAAAGTCAATGAAATAAACCATCTGGCACATGTATTTCATTTTACCAAAATCTACAACTTACAGCTATTGACAGCTAATTAGAAAGATAAGAGAATTTTCGTAATTTATTTTGTAATTTTGTTTCAACATATACAAAACATACACTAAGCAATTTATTCAAAATTCAATAAAGATTAGTTGTTTACTTTTAGTTAGTATTTGGTTGCATAACTGCCTCACACCGATTTCGCAGTGATGTTATAAGATTTCGACAACGCGTCACCGATATTGCTTGCCATGTCGTTCTTATTTCCATAAATAGCACATACATTTTTAGGATATTTTTAATACTAACGACTCTTTTTAACATCACTCCAGAGGATTTAAGTCTGGACTGGTTGATGGCTATTCTAAAAAATTAATGGAATTTTCGTCAATTTTGCGGTGTGATTTGGATCGTTATGCTGCTGAAATTTCCATATAATAGGCATATTTTCCTCAGCCCAAGGCAATATGGTAATTTCCAATATGTCGACGTATTTCTCCTTATTTAAAATTCCCTTTATCCTATGGAGTGGACCAAGTGTGGGAAAAATATACCCATACCATGATTGATTTTCCAACAATCCTTCACTACTATGAGTATGGACATAATCTACATATCGTTTTTTTTGGATTGTGGTCAGAAGCGGTTTCTTGCGTGCCGCTCTTCCTTGAAGTCCAGATTTGACCAAACGCCTATTATGAACCACAAGGTCTTACAAGAAGTGAGCGTTTTTCATCAGTGGTAAACAGCTTTATGGGGTTTTAAAATGTGTTTTGTTTTAGTTTATAGTTGCAAGTTATTCCTCAAATGTGTTAAATTATAAATGAGAGGAGGGCGGGGAAATTTTTGCCATTTTCGACTGGGCTCTTACTTCAATGTGAGAACTGCGTTACTCCGAAAGGTTAATATTTTTTATGAGTTGTTTTTCTTTTCATGGCAGAAAAATACACTGAATTGCAAACATATGTACACTGCCAAGGGGCGGCCACAAACAAAAATTTATGTATTCCTTTTAAATCATATCCGATAAATTTTGTGGCTTGCCATGGGCTCTTTCTATTTTTGATTTTTACACTGTGGCTTCCATTACTATGATTCCAAAACAATAGGAAATCAACACAACATCGACATATTTATGTATATATGTTTCTTTATTTATATAGTAATTTTACATAACTATTATACGAATCATACGATTAGTGATGGCGGTGAGATGGGATGTAAATTATATTTTTATACAACAGTTACATTTTAGTCGTAACTTTTTGGTATTTCACATGGTAAATTGTTGCAAGTTTGTCATAACGAATTCTATTTCACACATCGATTAAAGTCAAAAACAAAAGAAAAATAATATATGTATTTCAATTGCAGAATACTACTGTCTTACGACAAAAAAAAAATACTACAAACACTATATAATATATACTTTTAAATGTTGAAAAATTCACTTTTGAATAAACAAAAAAAAAAGATAAAAAAAACTAAATTCTATACACTTTTTGTTTTCCATATCTTGTTCATACTTGTGATGCTTAAGAGCTTACAACCTAAACCAGCGGGTAGCTCGAAGCAGAAGCGATACCACATTGATTTTCCTTATTGCGTGCCATCTTTATATAACCCTTATCGCCCCAAGTTGTGCCCCAAGAATTCTTGACCAACCAATAGTCCTGTCCGCTGGGATCAGTGCCATAACCGACAACCAAAACACCATGATCCAATTGCTCAGCATCACATTGTGGCTCGACATAAACACCTTCCGAATAAAATTGGAATGATTCATGGGACGCATCGATAGCAACAGCAATTGGACCAATTGTTGCAACAGCTTGTTTCATTTTCTCCTCATCACCAGCGGGTATATCGACAAAACCGCGATCAGTAGCGCCAACGGTGGATGGGTTGTAGTGGCAGGAATCATCAATACCCTCATATGGATAAGATTTTTCGGTATCAATACCGCCATTATCTTTAATATAACGGAAAGCGTTATCCATGAGACCACCGTTGCAACCATTGTTGCCATATTTAGCTGAACAATCGACCAAATTTTGTTCGGAGAGCGAGATTAGGGTGTTGGTTTTACGGAAATGTTGACCTTCCAATGCGCCAGTTGAGGAGAAAGCCCAGCAAGAGCCACAGTGACCTAATAAACGAAGCAATGAAATTATTTTAAAACCGTTACAAACATTTAACCGCAAGTTGTCACATTTACGCACCTTGATCCTTGACATCGGTAACAGCGCCTTGTTCACGCCAGTCAACAGATTTGGGCACGGTAACGTGGGCCGGTGGGATGAAAGTGGCGCCTAAGTATTTTCGGTTTCCGCTGTGAGAAAAAAGTAAAAAATAAATAATAATTAATAAAACATTTCAAGCAGAAAATGTAGATAAAAATTTTTTTTTTTTAGAATGATAAACATTAAAATAAAGTCGCTTTTAAAATAGTTCATAAAATTTTATTTTTAATTATATTTACGATAAGCAAATATACATTTTTTCATTACACTCACCGCAATTGTTTTCTCATTGTGTTGTTGAAGCCGTTCATGGTTTCACGGAATTCACTGTGCAACATATCGGAATATTTGTTCACAGCCATTTTGAATGGCACTTTGCCAGCTGCATATAATTGATTATGTTTGGCAATTCTCAGTTTGTTCTCATTGAAAATTTTAAGGCGAAAGCGTTCTTCGACTTCATTCGAGTAGCGCTTGTTATGCTCCATCTGAAATTAGTCCAAGGGAAAAAGCGATTTCATAAAAAAACACATAAAAAATAGATTTTAAAACTAATTAATTATGCGCCCAAAAGTATGCAATGGAAGATGAAATAGTAGTTTCACAAATCAAAATGGATAATGTAAAACGGAAATTTATTTCAAAACAAGATGTATGGATTGCTTTTTTCAAAAACTAGCAAATTAGTTACATAAATTGTAAGATTTCTTTTAGGGGTAGCAAAAAAAAAAAATATTCTTCGTTTTTAAATTATTTACTAAATTAAATTTAATCATTTTAAATAGTAAATAAATATGCAAATCTATGTCTGATATCTATCTTCTAAAATTAAACTATTTAAATACAATATATTATTTATATAAAAATTAGTATTTAATGCCAAATGCAGTAGGAGGTTTTATATAAGATAAGGACGATAAGCCTCACATAAAAATGCATTGTTATCACGATAACGATAAAGTAGTAAAACAATACAAAACAAAACAAAATCTGCGACAATTTCTCATTCTCAGCATAGCTCTGCACTGTTCGCTGCCTATCAGTTTCGATCTTTAGTGTGTTGTTGTTATTTATGGCTGAATTTTATGACTTGTTGACATCCGCACACATGCATGTGTTCGTACATGAGACTTTGTTTATGCAGTGCAAATACTTTAAGACCACCATTAGATTTTCAATCTAGTGGTTAACGATAATCAAAGATACCGTTCACCGAACTTTCTTTTTTCGGAGCCATAAATCTTAATCTTAGCAGCGATGTCAGTCAATAAGCGTCATAAATATAACAATTCGAGGGTGTTATTTGTTGTAGATTTCCAATTAAGATTACTTTACTTGTTTGGTAGGTAGGTATACATATATATATATATATATAAACGCTAAAGCGTTTTGCGGCCGAGCTCCTCCTCCAATTAGTGGGTTTGGGTCTGTATGTTTTTCCCCAACAAATGGAGTTACCTACAGTTTATACTAAGCCGCCGTCGAACGAACGCCGTATTGTTTTTTTAATTCATGTCAAATATACACTCGGAGGGGTTGACATTCCCTGCCGAGGGGCGACCGGAATTAGAAAATTTAGCTTAACTTTTTATTTAAATTAATTATCTACAACTTTTTAGATGTTATTACGACAACATAATTTCAACCCGAGCCTTCCGAATGGCAGTACTCATAGGAAATAACGATTTATAACGACGGTCGGGTTGTAAATCTTGGTAGAAACCTGCAACGACGCCGGCGTTATTGACCGCACAAGGAAATAATAATGAAATTATATTTTTTTCTCAATTTTTTGATTCTAAATTTGTATAAAAATAATTTATGATTTGATCAATAAATAAATTAAAAAGTTTTCCACGACCAATTAACAATTTCTTTTTAGAGAATTAAAATATATACAAGTACAAGACATATTTAAGTTTAAAAAAATAAATAAATAAAATAAAATATTAATTAAAACAATAAATAATTAAAAAACTAACGAAATAAAAAATTAAAATTCATCAAAAATAAACAAATAAGTTAAAATAAAAAATGAGTTGATTAATTAAAAAAAATTATAAAACAAAAAAGGAAAAATTGCTACTTATTAAAAAAAATAAAAAAAAAAAAACAAATAAAATAAAAAAATTAATTAATAAAAAAATAAATTAATTAAAAAAAATAATGAAACATACAAAAAAATTAAATAAAAAATTAAAATGCTTTAAAAATAAATAAATAACTCAAAATAAAAAATAAATAAAAAATAATGAAATATACAAAAAAATTAAATAAAAAAATAAAAACTTAAAATTCATTAAAAATAAATAAATAAAAAATAAATTAGTTAATAAAAAAATAAAGATATAAAAAAATTATATGAATAAAAAAATAAAATGAATAAAAAATTAAAATTCATTATAAACAAAATTGAAATTCAAATAAATGAATAAGTCAAAATAAAAAATAAATTAATTAATAAAAAAATAATGAACTATACAAAAAAATAAAATAAAAAAAAATAAAAAATTACAAAATTAAAATTCATTGAAAGTTAATAAATAAGTCAAAATAAAAAATAAATTAATTAATAAAAAAATAATGAAATATACAAAAAAATTAAGTTTAAAAAAGGGCATTAAAAATTTATTTATTTTTAACTTGAAATAATAAATTAATTAATTAATAAAAAATAATAAAATATACAAAAAAAAATAAATAAAAAAATAAAAAATTAAAATTCATTAAAAATAAAGAAATAAAAAAATTAAATGAATAAGTCAAAATAAAAAATAAATTAGTTAATAAAAAAAAGTCATTAAAAATAAATAAATAATTTGAGATAATAAATAAATTCATTAATAAAAAAATAATGAAATAAAATTATATTAATATAAAAATAAGTAAATAATTTGAAATACAAAATAAATTAATTAATGAAAAAATTAAAGAAAATAGAACAAAATAAAACAAAAAATAAAACGAAGTAAAACAAAAAATTAATTAAGAAAATAATTGAAAAAAATTAATTTCAAAAATATTAATTAAAAAAAAAAATAATATTAATTAATTAATATAAAATTACTAAATAAATGATAATAATCATTTTACAGTTGATAAAAAATTAATTTTTTTTGCATTAAAAAATAAATTAATTAAAATAAAATTAATTAATAGAATGAATTTAATAATCATTTTACTGTTAATAAAAAATTAATTTTATACATTAAAAACAAAAAAAAATTAAATTAATTAAAATAAAATAAAGAAATAAATGATTTTTTTTTTTTAATTTTCATGGATATTTCACATCTTATAACACTTAAATTTTGTCTAAAAATTTGTACTACCGAAATCTGCCAGGGTGAAATCTTCCAAGATTTAATGAGTTATTTTTTTACCCAAAATTCTTGGGCATTTTTGCAGTAACACCAAAATCCGCGCTTCTTTTCTCCCAAGAATTAAAACAAATTTTTCTCCTTTCTGAACAGTTTGTGGCATATACAATTTTCTTATGATAGTAGGAAATTCATAAACATTTTAGTGCATGTAAATGTCATTGTGCGAATAAAAGTGGATGCCGAGAAAAGCCTACAACTACTTATTCATGCCAAAACAACACTGAAGCGCAGTTCAATTAGCGTATGAGAACGATGTTGTTTTAGCAAGCCAACAACTATGATAATTATAAGAATAATGACAATGCATTTTTATTTTACAAAACATTTAGTCACATAAATCTACGACTCACTCTCATTCTTTACATAGGTATGTATGTATATTTACATATTTTTATTAAATTTTTAAAGACAACGCTTTTATTAGCTTGTCGAGCTTAATTCAATTAAGAAGAATTTGATTGTTTCACTACGCCGAAGTCAAGAGCGTAGACACAACGTCATTGGGTGAATGCATTCTTCTGTGTTTTGTTGAGTGGCTGTGCTTTTTATAGTTTGAATTAACTTAAGTTTTATGATATTTTGTGTAGTACAAGTGATTAATACTCTTCATACTACAAAATGTTCATAAGCAGTTCAACCGAGTGTTGAAATAAATATTTTTATATTTCTTTTTTTTACTTTATTTCGATGGGATCTCTCTACGGTGGCACTTCATCGCAATGAATAATCAAATAGGGGAGAGTAGCAAGTGATTAAAGTACAACACTTAGCAAAGTAATTTAAAAAGTTGCGTTCTTATTTGATTAGATTAAACTTGTATACTTTAGACACGGCGCTTAACCTGCCAATATGCGTCGCGAGTATATTTTGGAAAGTGTGCAAAGTGTCGTAAGACTCGTTATCGATAATTATTAGTAAGTGTTGGCTTCTAATCAAGATTGAGTATACGACTGTTTTATATCAATTTACCTTTATGTACATACAATATACATACATATAAGAAAAGTGTTGAGTATTAAATCAATAGCCGAAGAAATACTGCTTCACTTTATGAATGGCGAGGAGGAAGATTAGATTGACATGGATATCCACAATCAATTAACGCGATTAGGCTCAATTTAGGCATATAAAAGTACTATGTGCGTCAGGGTCAAAAACTATGTATTACTAGGTACTTCTTTTAGTGCTGATTTATAAGTCATTAAAACCAATTGTTGCGATTGTTCCGTTACGAAGTAAAGTATAATAAATAATAAATATTTCGAGGGGGAAAGGGATTAAGTCGTTTCATGAAATTCACATGATTTTTAGTTTTAAAGCGATTATTGCGACTGGCTACATAGTAAATTAAAAAGTAAACAAGAAAAAAGGGATTAATTTATAGTTTGATAATTTTCCAGTTTTACAATTTATACATATATATAGTTGTGCACAAAATAATTGGAGTGCCAAAGTGTGAAAAATGTATTAGCCTGTTTTTGGAAACACATGAAAGTCGAAATAAATTTTTTTTGCAGGAACTTAGTTTAGCGGAGCTCGGAGTATTGCATCCAGTTACAAAAAAAAAAAAAAAAAAAAAAAAAAAAAAAAAAAAAAGGTGTCAACGCCAAATTTTATGGTATCAATTAGTAGAGTTGGCGAAAAGGAATGCGTTAAATTAATGCGTTGGTCTACTCAGTCTCCGGATCAATATCAAGAAAAGTATTTCTGAAGAGAAACCAAATAATTCGAGTGATTTATGGCAGGTAGTGAAAGAGGCTTATGAGGGAATACCATTAAAATGTTATCAGGTTCTCACAGATGCCTCGGAGGTGTGATGCCTTGTAAAAAAAAACCCGAAATATTAATTATCTTATAATTCTGAAAGCATATTATGGTGAGACATTACAACGATCTCATACTACATAGAATACTACTATTTTCATGGGAAACTAAGGGGAATATGTTGCGAAAAAGAAAAGAAAAAAACTTGTATAACCCCCTATTTTGTAAAGCTGAAAGTTAATTTCAAAGAAAAACGTATTACAATAATAAAAATTTGAAAAAGCCATAAAAAATATCTTTCTTAAACTCAATAGTAAGAAACAAGTATTGGTTATTTCGAA